ACATATGAAATTTACATGCGCGTGTTTTGTAAATATCGTAAAAAATACTTTTCCAACAAAAAAGGTAGGGTACAGCTCATCTCGATAGACATTGGAAAGCATGTCTACCATTACACCAAGGTGGTGGTGTGGACTCCCGCCAACAAGCACTTTCACTCACAAATCAAGGTTTACAAAATTTTTCATATGATGCATAACGTGCTCGTGAGGCACTAGCTAAATTTTTAAATAGTGCCAAATTATCATTGTCTTTTGCAGATGATGAAGCATTTGAAGAATTTATTCATACTGCATTTTGTCCATAATTTAAAAGGTTTAGTAGAAACACAACTAGAGCTGATTGCATGAAAGTTTTTTATGTAATGAGACAATCGCTTGTTGATAATTTTAGGTCTTTTAATGCTACAATCTCTAGCACATCTGATCTTTGAGAGAGTTGTAATAAAACTAATTATTTATGCGTCATGATTCATTATGTTGACGGGGATTGGGTTTTGTAAAAGTGAATTATTGGTTTTCGTTTATGTACTTTTCCACATAATGTTAATGCTATTTTTTCTACTATTATGGAAATTTTTAATTTTTATGGCATTGAAGATAAAGTTTTAACCATTACTTTTGATAATGCATCAGCAAACACAACTGCTATCAACACGTTTAAAGTAAATTTGAAACCACCTTTTGGTGGAAAAGTTTTTCATCAACGTTGTGCACGTCATATCATAAACTCAGTAGTCCAAGCTAGTATTGAAATTATATCCCATCATCTAACTAAAATTTGAAAGCGTTATCTTTCATCTTAAGTTTGGGAGCTCGGCAACAAGTATTTTGACAATATTGCATAAATAACCAGATGAGGCCAAGAAAATTTCCAACAGATGTTCGACATAGGTGGAAACTCTACCTACTTAATGTTGAAAACTGCTATTTCGTATCAACAAATAATCACTATATATATTAACACTAAGCCATTAAAGTACTAAGCAAGCTATTATTCTGGGGATCTCCATTGAGGAGCATCAAACCCTAATGAAAGATCTCTCCCCATTAGCAACAGGTAATCATTTTCAAGCCACAAGAAGGGATCCCCTACTGAACGAAAGGAAAGTGAGTTCTTCCAGTTGGCATTCATTAAGCCGGTTGGGTAGGAGCACCTGGTTGATCGCCCAACAAAATAGTTGTTTAGCGAATGACTCAACCTATGCATCCGGCATTTACACACTTCGAGGTGTAAATCACTTAAACTATTTATTCCCCCTACCCCTGTATTAATGAAAGAATAGAATTTTGGACTTTGACCTTGCGAGCATCCACTACAATCAAAATAGGGAGGGCGCACTTTTATCTCCTCGATCTCCAGAACCGTAAAAAAGATGGAATTATCCGTCTTCTTAGCCGATGTAAGACCTTCATTCGGCAGCAAAAAGCTGTCCCTTAGAGCTGCTCCCATTTTTTCCGGGTATGAAGAAGCGGGAGTGCACCACATGGAGGAGAACCCTACTCGCCTTTGTATGCCAAGTCACTGGACCAGCAAAACTGATTCTCCCGAGGTGGTCAAAGCGGGATCGTTTCAACGCGCCCACGCCTTACTGCTTATTCAGGGGCGGACGAAAGTGCCTATGGGACCATTCGACATTCATAGCCTTTCAATCCTATTCGGATCTTGCAAGACTGGAATATGAAACGAAAGTCATCTTGAAATATGCTAGGAGCTTCTTTCCCACATATCCTAACCGGACATTTTACTATTTGGTCGAGCGGAAAGCCGATTCGTTGGGCGGAATAAGCAGAGGAAAGAAAGAGAACACTTACTTACTCTTATTGTTGATTTCATTCAAAAGCGAAGGAAGAAAGCTACTCGACCAAAGCAAACAACAAGCTGAAAAACGCTAGCTTTAACTTGAAATTGCGAAAAGAAAGAACAACTATGTAAGTAAACCTTAGCTAGTCCGTAGGTCCGTTAAGGAAGTGGAACGAAGCCAAAGCAATACTAAACAAGCAAGAAAAGCCCTATATATTAGTAAAACAGCGTTGCAAAGGGATAACCTTTCACTATCTAGGCACCCTAGAAGGAGGGGTCCCGTGGTGTTCTTCCCCGAGGGTCAAGCCATAGTCCCTGGGAGAAGTGGAAGGAGTAAGGAGGAGGGAGCGCCTTTTGCCCTAAGAAATAGGCGGCTTCGCCTTCAAGCCGTCAATAAAATCGAGCTAATATGTGATCATGACAGTACACTGATGCATAGGTCTTTTTACGGCCTTTTGATCATGATGCATCATGAACGTGCCAATATGTGATCGGGGCGAGCAGTGGTTAGATATAGGGGCAGCTTCATCGGCTTGGATTGGAAGGAAGGGCTTCGCTTTCCGATCGCTTTTTGAGGCCGGTTTGGATGAGCGTAGGTAAGTTCGGGCAGGGTTTTTTTTTTTATCTTTTTGCCTGCGGCCTGTCTGACATCGTGATAATAAACTTGTCCGGCTTCGTTTGATTCCTTCCCCATAGAAAAAAGGGCTTTCTCGATACCCTTCTCCTTATCCTCATGCCTTTTTCCACCTGCCATACTTAAGATAGAAGCACAATCGAACCCTTCCTCGAGTTAGGATTCAGACTGAGTGCAATTTAGTTTGTCAACCAGCTAAAGTAAGGAAGAATCAGCCACTTAGGGTGGCTAAGCTCACTTCGGCACCGAGCACCGTAGCGCATAGCTATTTCATCCAACCTATCAGGAGTAATGGGCTAAATCACTACTCATTCCCCGATGGTACTAATTTCTTTCCCGCTACCTCTTCGCTGATCAATGGTCCTGATTCCCCGATTTTACATTTCTTTTAGAAGACTACTCCCCTTAACTCCTACCCTGCGGCGATATCTCTTTAATCCCCGAAAGGGCTACCATTCAAGGGGAGACGGATTACTTGGGCCGGTTGTCCAATTTTATATGCATTAGCAACAAGTAACAATTTTATATCCTATATGTCAATTAATGGTACGGAATCTTTGATTTATGCTACAACAGATAATTTATCTATTGATATAGAACTAACCATTGATGATGCAAGGCAAATGTTAGAAGATATATTTGCATTATATGAAAAAAATACGGAACAGGACAACAACAACAGTCAACTTCGACTTCAAAGAGCAGTGCCTGGCCTCAAGGTTCATCGTGGAGCTTCTTGAAGAGAAAAGAGAAAGCATCGGGATCATCATCAACACATGGACCGTTTTCAGAACTTGTCAAATAATTTGAGTCAAATTTTGTAATTGATGATGACAAACTAGACAATTTACAGTGTTGGAAGAGCAAGCAAGATCGTTTTTCAACATTATTCATTATAGCATGTGACATTTTGACAACTCTAGTGTCCACAGTAACATCAGAGCAAGCATTTAGCGCAAGCAATCAAATTCTTGACGATAAGAGGAGCATAATGTACCCGGATATCTTGGAAGGGCTAATGTGTGTGAAAGACTGAGAATATGCAAGAAGGCGAAAACAACGTTATACAGATGATACACTTCTAGACTATTTTTTAAACTTATACATAACATAATCTTCTAGAAGCAATTCGGCCATAGTGTAATTTAATTATCCTTGTATACTGCACTCATTTTTTCCTTCGTTAAGGTTTTGTCTCGATCTCCCCACGGGTTTTACTTGACAATGTTTTTAACAAGACAGTCATTTACTTGTAATTATTCATATTATTTCAATAAAATCACATCATTTTGGGGCATATGATATATTTCCTTTTTTTGTCATTAAATATGATAAAAAATGCGAATCTTGTGCAATTCGGTCGACCGGTAGCAGAGAAGTAGTAATCCAACGGTCGACCGGTGATGCCTCTACCGGTCTCCCGCCCCGGTCGACTGGTGCATGCTCAACATCCATAAATTGGACCGTTGAGCTTTAACAGGTTGAAAAGGGCCAGGGCTGGCCCGTGAATAGCCTAGGCCTGGGCTCAACCCTAGCCCTTATGGACAAGGGCCAGGGCTAGGGTTGGGCCTGAGGGTCTCTCTTCAGGGTCGACCCAAGCACGGCCATGTACTACATGGTCGTACCTTGCCTGGCCCAAGCCTGTGATGGGCCTGGAGTTGGAAAGGTCGTGCCGGCCCGACACGACTCTTTTAACACCTCTAGATACCGGTCAAAGGGTATATTAGGCATCTTTAGATATAATATGATGACATAACACGATAACTTTTGCAATTAGTTTTTATTTAGCAAAACTAACCCAAGTCTTGAATTTGTGGTTATCCTGTAAAGAGCCCAAGTGCAAAAGGCCTAAATAAGGACCTGAATGTTAAAAATTAAAAAAAGAAAAAGATTAGAAACCTTACAATTGGTTTACATTTAAAGAGGTACAAAACTTCAATCAAAAGTGGCTTAACAAGAGACCCTACTCACTTAAGTCTTTTAAATAAGTACAAAACCAAAGTAGTCTTATAATTCCCCTACTTCAGTCCCAGTCCTAGGATGTAAGTTTCATGATTGTAAAGGGCAATAACGGAGTTACCACCCTATTGGAACTCTTAACAAAATCAAAATTTTCTTAAACAATTAACAAAATATATATTTTTTTGGATAAAGAATCAACAAAATCTTTTGTCTATCTCATTTTACAGTTACAATTTTTGCAACATTTCAGTGCCTGAAACATAAAACTAGAAAAATTTCTGAAAATATCCGTTTGAGTTATTTGTCAGACCGTTGAGTTTAGACCCAGGAGGACATCAGAACAGTTTTACAACCGCTTGATTTGTAGACAAGTACAATACGATAGATCCGAATCCTGATAAGTCCATATCTCTTACCATACGGTCACTCATACTGTAATCAAGCGTCTAAACGTTTCATAAATTCGCCACGTAATCAAATAAAACAATTATAAACCCTTGCCAACTCCTCCAATCAGAATTCAGAACTGTTGATCAAATCCTTGTTTAAATCAACAATGCAGCACCGACCACGAGAAACGCTACGAAGATTAGAGAACAAAAAATTAAATTTTTTTAAAAAAAAAACACTTCTTTCACAGTTTCTTCTCGCGAATTCAATCCGAAGCAAATAAGGAAAGAAAGAAAGAGAGTAGAAATCAAGTAGAAATCCAACAAATCTCTCTCGGATTCGAGCTATTATATATATATATATATATGTATATGTATATACAACTTGTTTGATTTTTCTATGGTCGGAGAAAAGCTTAATTCAATTCTCTCCTTTCCGTGGCGGGACAAAACCCTAACCCTAATTCATACCTGGTGCGTTTTCTAGAGCGAAGTTTTCTTTTTGTTCTCTTTCATGGAATCGGAGAAGCTCGTGCTGTCAAGAGAAAACCCTAGGGCGGCGATTGGGTTTGCGCCGGAGCGGGCGCTGAACAAGGCCATGGCCAATGAGGTCGCTCAGAAGTCGCCGCCGTCGGTTCTCGACCGGTTCAAGGCTCTGCTGAAGCAACGGGACGACGACCTTAGGGTTTCGGCGGACGACGTCGTTTCGCTGCCGAGGACAGAGGAAATTGTGCAGCTTTACGAGCTGGTCTTGTCGGAGCTCTCCTTCAATTCGAAGCCCATCATCACCGATCTCACCATTATCGCCGGCGAGCAGAGGGAGCATGGGAAGGGCATAGCTAGTGCAATTTGCGCTCGCATTCTCGAGGTCTGTTTTGGTCTCTGCGGATTTGATTTTTCCTCTTTGTATGATTATGGGGAGTTTGCCGAATTTGTATTCCCCATTGAGATATCAAGGGGTTTTTTTATTTGTTCTTCTCTGTACTCGGCTCGTTTCCTTGCGTCTATTAATATATTGTTTATTTACTTTTGAGTTTTTGGACTTGTAAATTAGCTTTAATCCTTATGCGCCCTCAAATTTTATAGTCGAAATCCATAAAACCAAACTTCTCTTTAAGTGGTCTAAAATTTCTTACAATATTTTTTTACTTCTCTTGGTTATAAATGGCGAAGAAGATATAATAATTGAGCAGAATGACTGGGAAGATCCTGTATTCTTTTTTTCGATAATGAGCGAACTTAATTAATCAAATTACTAGATTTGTACAGGTTTTAACTTCAATAATTGGTGTTATACGGAAGAAACTTTGCCCACCATGAATTTTGTTTGAGAATTTATGATGCCGCTCTAGCTAGTAAAATTACTGTTCAAGTTGAAAGCTTTTTTATAGTTGGCAAATTTTGAGAACAGCTCTCAAGAGGAAAGCTTGTTGCATTATGTACAGCTTGCCCTTATATACTGAGCTTGGATAAAGGACTGAAAACTAACACTGAAGAATTGTTAATGCTGTTTATAATAGTCCTGCCTCCTTACACCTTAGAAAGTTATTACTCCGTCTCTTCTTATGAAGAAAGTTCATAGATGCGATTTACTATCTCCACAAATGGTTATCTTTTTAGCCAGCTTCTTTTAGCACTCATCGTTACTCTTGCATGTGAATATAGGGGAGTTGTCAAATTCGTGGAACTTTTGTCTTGATATCTTGTTAACACTTGTGCAAGCAGCCTAAAATGATGATACGATCTTGTCACGAAACTTTGCCTCATTTTGGAGATGTTAGTTAAGCATACGTCTGTACAATAATTACTCTCCACTGGATATACATAAAAGTTCCCTACATTCTGAAGTGGGAATTAAGTTTCTAGCCTCTGAAATCGTACAGTTAATAAAAAATGTAGCTTGTTATGCAATCTTACAGTTAAAAGAACATGTTGATACATATAGCTTGTTGAGTCTCTGTCTCGTACCCACCATGTTCTTTCTTGTTTATGTGTGTTTAGACTTTAGTCCTTTTATGTTTTATTGCGATGTTTACTTTGGTTACCAATTACACTAACTTATTTGTTGGTAACCATAGAGTACACATTTCCTTTGTAGATTCTGTGTGTGTTGGTGCCCAGTGGTAATGTGTTTCGCTTGATATTTGATAGCTCGTGTTCACCATTGTCGTATTCTTCTATTTTTCAGGTTCCTGTTGAGCAAAAATTACCGTCACTTTATCTTTTGGACAGTATAGTTAAAAATATTGGTCGTGAATATGTAAAGTGCTTTTCTTCCCGTCTACCTGAGGTGATCTGATAACAAACTTTTGTCCTTATTTTTCCTAGATGATCTGAGAACATGTAGAAACCTTACCATGAGGATCTCTAGTAACTAGTGCTTTTGGCTCTTGCTTAGGTATTTTGCGAGGCATACAGGCAAGTTCCCCCAAGTCAGCATCCTGCTATGCGCCATCTCTTTGGCACTTGGTCAACAGTTTTTCCACCTTCTGTACTTCACAAGATTGAAGCACAACTGCAATTTTCTCCATCTGCAAGCCAACAGTCATCAAGATTGCCCCCTTTAAGAGCTTCTGAATCCCCTCGACCAGCTCATGGAATTCATGTAAATCCAAAATATTTGCGACAGATAGAACATTCGGCTGCAGATAGTGTAAGTTTTACATTGAAATCTATCTTTTCATCCCTTCTCAGAATACCAAGGATTAGGCTGCTGCATTTATTTTGCATGTTAGGTGTACATCTAATGGTTAGAGAATAGAGATATTATTATTTTGTCCAATCCGATATGGCAAGTTATTGCTGCCACTAACGAAGTGGTAATGTTACATAAAATTTTGCTGATAGTATTTTTTTATTTGGAGGTTGAAGATGAGACTTAAAGTTAAAATGATGCACAAACTGCTTTGACTGGATTAAGATTACCTCCACCTCCTATCTCAAAAAAAAAAAAAAAAAGGCCTGAGAGAACTAAAATGCCATTATGAGTATTTGGTCTCAACTCCTATCCTTTCGTGATTTACAACCATCTGATCATTATTAAAAATTTGAAAGTCATCTTCTCATTATTTTATCCTTGTTTTCAAATCATGACTAAAGAAATATAATTCGGAGTGGGATTTCCCTATCATTGGATAATGCTATCAGGGACAAATATTTAGGTAAAATAAGGCATAGCGGTTTAATTTACGACATCATTGTAGTTGTGCCTGAACAAAGTTATGGCTTCTGAGCTCTGAAGTGGCCTTATTGTAAAAAGGCATTTATCTTTTTATGTTTTGTCTAGTGTATCAACTTTAGATGCAATATTATAGATTTATAATTCATGTTCATTATTTGTGCAGCTCATTGCAGGGGGGACTTCATCTCTGAAAATATATTCTCAAAAACCTGCCACTGGGTATGAAATATCTGACTCTTATTATGCAAAGGTTGTATACTCACATGTTGAAGCCCAGAGATTGAGCTCAACAGGAAGTGTGGGTCATACGGCTTTTTGGAGCTAACAAGCTGCATACATCTTCAACTGCTAGACTTGTGAGATCTATGTCAACTTCAAGTATTGTGTCTGTTAGGTCTCTCTATTGTCAGCAGTTGATGATTTTGCAGCAAAAACTTTTTATAGTTGAATATTGAAGGAATATTTCCATCTAACCATTGTTTTAATTTTACTTGACAGAGCAATTGGTAGAGATGATGAGCTGAGTAAGTGGCAGAGAAAACAGTATCATAATCAGAATCAGATTGAAGCTCCTGCTCCATACAAACTTAGTAATGGGCGTGAACGTCAAGGACCAAGAGCTTTAATTGATGCATATGGAAGTGATGATAGGAATACACCTTCAAGTGATAGGCCTTTGCGGATTGAGCGTCTTGGCACAAATGGTGTGGACCATCGGCCTTCTTCTATGTCGTGGCAGAATACTGAAGAGGAAGAGTTTGACTGGGAAGATATGAGTCCAACTTTAGCAGATCATGGTAGGAGTGAGGATTTCTTGCAATCATCGGTGTCATCCTTGAGAAGCTTTAAACCCAGGCCTGATATTCGGAACAGTTGGTCTGGTCAGGCTCAGCTACCTGCAGCAGATGATTCCTCCATTGTCTCTGAAGATGCAGTTCCTTCTCTTGGTGTATGCTTCCTCCGCTCATTCCCTATTTTTGTTGTTTAATGAGTATCTAAGAAAATCCAATATGGTATTCAAATCTTGTTTATATTTGCAAAAGAAACCATTAATTTAGTTATGTAGGTGGCTTTGGGTTTATGTTACTTCGTCATTGCATTCTAATATCTATGAATTATTCCTATGTTAATATCTTTTTTTGTTGCATTGCCATCTTGATCTTCTGTAAGCCTTTTTATTTCTGCATTCTTCCCTATTTGCTATTGTTGCTTTTATAGTTGGGGGATCCTTTTCATTGTCGCATAAGATAACCTTGATGTCTGGAACTGCTTGGTGTCTTCCCTTTTATTTAATTATTTATTTCTTTGCTAAAAGAAAAGCTAGAAAAAGTAATCTCTTAACATTTTGAAAGCCCTACTTTTGTTATTCTGTTACTTAATGCCAGTTATAGCATCCAAATACATTCTAGCAAATAGTTTTTACTTCATAAATTCTTTTTCTGATCACTTTTTAAAATTTTTTAACTACCTATTGAATGCCATTTCTCGTGCCGCTCTCATCATAAAGCCACAACTTTTTGTGCATATTAGCCCCTGAAAAAGGATGGAAAGTAAACTTCAAATTCTATACTGGTTCCATATCCATTTGTTATTTCATTTATTTTCAAATTCTATTGTTCACATGGAGAAGGTTCCTATTTGATTTGTTCAGTATGAAGAGACATTCATTATAGAAAGTAAACTCCAAATTTTGAGCCTAAAATAAAAAAAAACTGTTTCTCTCTGCAGTTTGGTCGTGGATTGCTGGGTAATATATCTAGATTTCAGAATGAGCCAAATCATAATCTGGTTTCTCGTCGTCCCCAAGAACCCTGGAACATGCCTCACCAACTCTCTCAGCCTTCCCAACACATAAATTCCAGAGGAAGAGGTATGAATTTCTGAATGCCCTCATTGGCATCTAGTGTGTCTTCAGGTGGTGAGAATATGTCCTCTTTTGTTGACAAGCTCCCAGTTGTTGATACACAACTTCATGTGCCCTTAACTGTTGTTTCAAGAACGGTTTCCTCTACCATTGACTTAATGAATGCTGACGCTCGATCAGTTTTTGTGCCAGCATCAGTCGTGTTACGACCTCCAGTACATGTACACACTTCCCACCCACTTCCCTTGCATCCGATTATGCCAACGCAAAACCAGCAGGGTCAGTATGACCGTATTAATTCAAGCAACCCTGTCAAGAATCAAGCGCCCAGTAAATCTTTATACAAGAGTGGTGGACAGCAGTTTGATAGTTTTGAGAATAAGGAACTGAGTTCAACAAAGTTGCCATATTTACCTATTCAGAATGCTATAGTGGCTCCTGTTAACCAGCAAAACCAAATGCAAACTTTGCAACCACAACTTCTTCCAACTCAGGAAGGACATAAGAATTACCTTTCCTCTCTGGCAGCTCCTGTGCCTCATCCAGTGATCCCAAACTTAGGTCATGGATACATATCACAAGGACGTGCGGCTTCTATTAGTACAGGTCTGACGAATCCTGTACCTCTTCTACCCTTGAACTTATCAGCCAACAATATCCGAAACAACTCTTTGAATTTACAGGGTGGAGGTCCACCACCTCTGCCACCTGGACCCCCTCCCAATTCATTGCAAGCAATACTTCCTCCTCACAATGCTGATACGGCCATCTCTAGCGAACAATCTGGGGCATTCTCTGGCTTGATTAACTCTCTAATGGCTCAAGGTTTGATCTCATTGACAAAACCCAATCCCGTACAGGTACCTCTGCGATTTTACCCTTCTTTCATGTATAGCTTGACTATTTAATTTATCTCTGCAATTTTGGCCTTGTCTAAACCATTTTGTTTGAATTTTTAATTTTTTAGGAACCTGTGGGACTAGAGTTTAATGTGGATCTTCTTAAGGTGCGTCATGAATCTGCTATTAATGCTCTTTATGGTGATCTTCAAAGACAATGCACGACCTGTGGCCTCCGATTTAAGAGCCAAGAAGAACACCGTAGTCACATGGACTGGCACGTGACTAAAAATCGAATGTCTAAGAGCCGGAAACAGAAGCCTTCTCGTAAATGGTTTGTAAGTACAAGTATGTGGCTTAGTGGTGCAGAGGCATTGGGAACTGATGCAGTACCTGGGTTTTTACCCACTGAGACCATAGTGGAAAAGAAAAGTGATGAAGAGATGGCTGTTCCCGCTGATGAGGATCAGAATGTATGCGCACTATGTGGAGAGCCTTTTGAGGAGTTTTACAGTGACGAGACAGAAGAATGGATGTACAAAGGTGCTGTCTATTTGAATGCAATGAACGGGTCAACCACAGGCATGGATAGGTCTCAGTTAGGTCCTATAGTGCATGCTAAATGCAGGTCCGAGTCTAGTGTGGCTCCCTCTGAAGGTTTCGGACAAAATGAAGGGGTATTTATTCCGTGTCTATACTTTTTTGCACTTATTTATTTATTTTTTTTCAGATAATTGCTACCGAGAAATGCTACCTTATTTTTTCTTTTTATCAAAACATTAGGTCTTTTGCTTTCGTGTTATTTTTAGAATCATTCCTTTACGTTTCCTTTTTATTTTGGATATAAAATTTGTACTTGTTTAAACTAGGCTGGTTTGGTTCCTTAAAAAAAAAAAACTAGCTTGGTTACTCTCTGGTGAGGTCTGAACTATGTATCAACTAGATGCTCTTAGGTGGGGAGCAACAATTAAATGGCCAGACAAAGTGATCGTTTAGCTTGTTTAATTTTATGAACTCAGGGAGTACTGTACAGAGCTACAGCACTTTCAGTGTTAGTATCTTTAAAGTAAAGATAGTAGGGGTATTAGTGATAGTTATCCTGTTTACAGTCTGGACGTTGAATGCCCTTGTATTTTTCACTTAGCTACTCCATGATTCATTGCACGCATTGCAGTTGCTACTTGCTAGTGGCCGCTCATCTTGACACTCACTTGATTGTTTCTGTGTTTTGCAGGGAGCTACTGAAGAGGGTAGTCAAAGAAAGCGATTACGGATTTAGTGTAGTTAGGCCAACTTCGATTTGTTCTGTAACTTATATTGAGTTTCTTCATGTTTATGGTACGCGCTTAACTTGTTTTTTACAATAGTGTTGGAGCTTGCCGTACCTTGGCATCTTGCCTGAATCTTGTACATGTATAGTTGGATTTGTACCGTTCACATCTCTAGCAACAAAGTTCACATTTTTTTGATGCAGTTTTGCGCGTATGACAATTTCTCCTCCTTCCTGACCGGAAACCCAGAGGCACATTTAGGATCTTTATTGCCTTAACAATTTCTTTATTTTTCACCATCTTCTGTTTTGAAGGATCATTTGGAAAAGCGAAGATCGAGCTATTGAGTTTTCTGGAATGTGTATATTCTGGCAGTTCTTGCCTAAAGGCATCTTTCCATGGGGTTGCATATATAGTGATCGTCCATTTCTGTAAAGCAGATTCCATGTACCAGCAAGGGTTTGCGCGTTCTTCGTGGCGCATTAGATTGATGATTGCAGCTTTAAATTCGTGAATTACTTAGAGCCTCTCCAAATTTTATTATTTAGTTTCTTATAGAAGAAATGTAGTATGTTCGAATTGTAGGGTCAGGATGATGTAATCTAATTTCTTTTATTTTCGGTAGTCATATAATTTCTATCAGTGAACATAATGTACTTTTGCTTCATTCAAGCCTTGATGAAATTCTAATGCAATGCCAGAGTTTGTTTATTTTAATTTTGGTTCTCTGTTTTGTGGTTGGCCTCCTTTTCATGAATGGTATGTAGCATCAGTCTTATTTCTCATTTGCCTTGTTGCCTTTGCCTTTAAAGTTGTATACTCCCCATGAATTGGTCTATTTTTTATGCCCTTAAAATTTCAATGTTCATAATTGCCTTGTGGCGTAGTAAGTACATTGGAGTCTTCTTGCTGGGTAAGGGCAACCTCTTCTATCCTCCATTTATTGGTCAGTCGAAAACAACACTCTTACACTCCAAAATGGGAGGAAAAGAACACGTTGGACGTTAACTCCTATTTCCCAAATTTTAGAACAAATGTTCCTAAGCCAAAAAAGAAAAAAAAAAAAAATTCTAGAACAAATAGTTATTCCTATATGCTTGTGTTCTTCTTCCCACCCAACAAGTTCTAGACCACATATTGACGGTGTCGAATGATCTTCAAATTGTGGTTCGCATCAAATTATAAAAGTATTTCAATGACAACAATATCAATTTCTAAAAGTACGATTTACAAACTTTATAATCCGAATATGTTATAAAAGGGAAAAAAAATTCTGATATGTGGACAAATGATTGCCTGCCTTCGAAGCGTCTCTCTCTCTCTCTATAAAAAGCATTTCTCTCTCTCGCTCTCTCTCTCTCTATAAAAAGCATTTAGAGCACTAGTCGTACGAGTTAAATAATAAGGAGAAAGATGTAAGTAGGTCAAAATTTGAGATAAATTAAAATTAATAGGTTAATAGTTTACATAAGTTAATAAATAGGTCAAATTACTGTTTTCGTCCATAACTTATCTGGTTATGAACCATAACTTGACAAGTTATTGTCCATAATTGTCCATAACTTCTCTGACTATAAACCATAACTTGATAAGTTTGTCAATAACTTATCTGGTTATGAACCATAACTTGACAAGTTATGGCCTATTAATTTCTTATTGTCCATAACTTCTCTGGCTATGAACCATAACTTGATAAGTTTGTCCATAACTTATCTGGTTATGAACCATAACTTGACAAGTTATGGCATATTAATTTCTATAACTAAAAATTAGCTTATATACTTTCTTAAACTTTTCATATTGACCTATTTTCTAATATTTCCCTAAATAATACTCAAATTTTTGCATTTAAGCAAAACTTTTTGTGCAATCTTATTTTCAAGTTGACATTTTTGAGGATGCTATTTTTTTATCAAAAATTTTACGTTGCAAAAGGCATTATTTCAATTTTCACTGCAATTGCTAAATTTTAACATATATTATTGTAATATTATCGTCGATAAACATTTTCATCTAATTGCATTAATGATTAAAATATGGTATCTTAATTTCTTTTCATACATCTAAGTCCATATATACAAAATCTTAATTTCACAACATCTTCATCCATTGTAAAGTTTTATTTTTAAAAAAAAATATATTTATAATTATATTACTTCAATGCCTTTTAAGACGTGGCATCAAATTACTCTTGATACAATTGAATTAGGAAAACGATGTAGATTAGTGCATGAAAATGCACCGTGAATACTACTTTTGATTTATATAATATTAAAATATTTAAGCTTTAATTAAATAATTTCATTATTTTTATTCATAATATTTTTAATTGGAATTTGTCTAGTTTTTGCTTAATTATTTATAGATAAAAAGCAGTGTAAAAAGCTACACAAAAATAAGCCATGAAAGCCATATTTTCAACCATCCGGAGCCAAGCCTCTCAGCCGAGCCGCACAAGCCATCAGAGAGAGAGCCGAGTCAATTGAGCCGAGTAGCTAAGCCGGCCAAGTCGCATCAGTCCGCGTGGGCCCCAGCTCTTCCATGTTCCCCGACTCTTCCTCGCGCGCGTCACCAGCACGCATTCTTTCAGCGCTCGCGTTTCTTCCACGCAAACGTCAGCACGCGTCCAAGGCTTTAATCCACGTGGATCCCACGTCTGCGTTGCCAGCCTGAGCTTCCAGTGAATGCGCGCCAGCTGTCAACCTTGTCCCCTGTTCTGACCGACGCCAGCTCCACTCCTTCCACTCCACGCACAACACGTGGCAATTATATTCCCTTCATCCAACCAAGCTTCGACACGTGTCCCCTTTGATGCTGATTCTGAATTTTCCCCCCAAAAATCAGGGCAAAATTACCATATTTCTTCCCCAAATCATATATTTGATTTCTCCTAATTTATGTGTAATTTTATTTTGTTTCCTTTTCTTTTGTAATTTTCTATTTTTATTGTTTATTTCCTTATTTGATAGGCAACCTCTTAACACTATAAATAGGAGGGTTAGCCTAAGGTTTCAGAAGCTTTTAATATTCAGTTTTCTATCGTCTTGCTGTCACTCTCATATTTTCTCTCTAGAACTTGTGAGAATGTTTTGCAAGCTAGGCTAGAGTTCTCTTGGTGAGGTTAGAGATGAACTTCTGTTGAGTAACCCAATTCGGGGTTTTGATTCCTTGTGCTGTAAAGTTCAATATCTTAATGAATTAAATCTCATCTATTTTTCTATTACTTTTCAAAATATTGTGTGCCAATTTTTATATAAGTTCAGTCACGCTTTTCTTATGTAATTTCGTCACGCATTGTTTTGTTATTCAAATTATTTTACAAATTGTCTTTTACTGCAATATTGTCAAGTTGATATATTGTCGATTTTAGATAACTTGTAATAATAATATTTCCGGAGTCAACATAGAGATTTAATTTATTCAATTATTTTATATTGTGAATCAAAACTTGAATTGGTGAACGAAACATTAGGGATTATCGACACCTTACCGTTTTTACTATTGAATTTTCCTCACACAAATTTCCTCCTTTTTATTTTATTTCCAACAAAATCTCAAAAACTCTTCTTTTTCTTTAATTCACTTGTTATTTATCTTTCTCTTATGTTCTTATTCTGTTAATCTTTCTTGTTTATTTGTTACCTCTTTGTAGATACGACCGCCCTTCTGTGCTACAATTGACCGCTTGTGACCATCACTTTTGGGCGTTAATCAAATTTTAGCGCCGTTACCGGGGAGTTGTTATTAACAAGACTGATCAGTAGATTTTTAAGCTAAAGAGGTAAGTATACATATATATATATATATATTTAGTTTGTTATACGTGTCTTTAGTTTCTCGAAAAAAAAGGTTAGTTGTTGGTTGTCTGTGTCCTTATTCAAGTAATTCATAGTTGTTGCATATATATATATATATATATATACTCTTTTTTTTTTTCTCTTGTCGTCCCTTAATCAAAATAAAAAAAAAAAAAAACGTTACCTTTTCTCTTGTTCATTTTCTTTCCGTAGTCGTGTTGCTGAAAAAAAAAAACAACAAACTTTTCTTTGCTGTATTTCTTTCTTTCTTACCTTTCTCACGTTCTTCCTCTGTGTTTTCCCTTGTTTGTTTCTGTGTTCACCTTTTTAACATTTGTTACCTTTTTCATTTTTTTTATTTCCGTAGTTTTGTTGTTAAAAAAAAAAACTCACACTTTTAGGATTTGTTTTTATTGCTAATTTTATTTTCCCTTTTAGTTTTAAAATTGATTGTGATTTGATCTTGTAATCTTTTATTTTTTTTATAAACTAAGATTTTATTTTGTTTCCCTATTTGTATATTTTAATTGTTGACTTTTATATTGTTGCCTAATTTAATTTTTCCTTTTAAGTCTTTATTAAGTTTTAGGATTGTGATTAGGTTGTAATTAGTTGACTAATTTAGATTCCTAATCTAGGAATTTCATAATTTGGTAGATTTAGGCTTTTACTTTAGGAATAGTTTCTATTAATTAGACTTCATTTCATAATCTATTCAATAAAATTTAATAATTGATTTTGAGGATAATTGTGTGGTTATGTGGAAAGTACAATCTGAGGGAGTTCTGTCTAAGAAAGTTTATACTTAAGTGGGCCTCGCCCCACCAATCTTTCATGAAAATATTGCTCTGTCTAGGAGACTATTAATTGAGCCAAGAGCTATAGTCTTTCCTACGAGCACTCTCGGTGGTTACAATTTACGTTACTATATAGTTATTTTCTTTTGCTTTGATTAAAAATAAAAACAAAAAAATACAAAAACAAATTAAAAAATTAAAAAAGAACTGCTTTGGGTGAATGCATCGGTATAGAGACGAGCTGGGGAGATTCGCTCAACATCCAGACCTAGAAATCCCTAGTGAAATTCTGTCTGACTCGTCTTCTACACCTCTGTCTTCACACTCGTCGTTGGAACTCGCATTTAAAAATCTATTCGCAATGGCACAACACGAGAAAGTTCAGTAGAGGACGTTGCAAGATTACCTGCACCCAACGCGCACGGCCACCCCATCTTGCATCATGTTCCCACCGAATGCACCGCCAACTAATTTTAAGCCGGTGATAACTGCATGAAAATGCATCCTAAATATTGCTTTTGATTTATATAATATTAAAATATTTAAGCCTTAATTAAATAATTCCATTATTTTTATTCATAATATTTTTAATTAGAATTTGTCTAGTTTTTGCTTAATTATTTACATACGAAAGCAGTGTAAAAATCTTTGAATATTCAGTTTCTGTTGTCTTGCTGTCAGTCTCATAGTTTCTCTCTAGAACTTGTGAGAATGTTTTGCAAGATAGGCTAGAGTTCTCTTGGTGAGGTTAGAGATGAACTTCTGTTGAGTAACCCAATTCGGGGTTTTGATTCCTTGTGCTGTAAAGTTCAATATCTTAATGAATTAAATCTCATCTATTTTTCTATTACTTTTCAAAATATTGTGTGCCAATTTTTATATAAGTTCAGTCACGCTTTTACTGTAATATTGTCAAATTGATATATTGTTGATTTTAGATAACTTGTAATAATAATATTTTCGGAGTCAACATAGAGATTTAATTTATTCGATTCTTTTATTTTGTGAATCAAAACTGGAATTGGTGAACGAAACATTAGGGATTCTCGAAACCTTACCGTTTTTACTATTAAATTTTCTTCACACAAATTTCC